CTTTTCAAAATCCCTCGTTGAGGAAGATTCCCATTCCAAACTCCAAATAGATCCAAAAGTATGGGAAATCATAAATTAGTGACCAATTCACATATCCCCCTCTTATTGGGGTAGCACTACCGGCTCAAAAAGAAATCGGTCACACAAAAGAAAATCTGCCACAACCCCAAGCTTCAAAAGCTAGCGTACAAAATGCCGGACGATTCAGACAACCAGTTTTATTAAAAGGCTAAACGGGCACAAAAAATTAGAGGGAAAACGCCACTCTTGCCAACCTAGTCGACGGTACGCCGCCAGTAGAAAGAACAACCGAACTATATCTGTGGTGATGGCCGTATGGCCCGTGCCAAAGAATCGAGGTTGCGTCAACGAGACGAATTACCCGAACGCTATCTATGGGGGCGACCGGACGGCCAGTCACAGAAAATCGAGGAAGAATAGGTTAAGAAACAAAACAATATTTACTAGGCTCGCCAAGGAATACCGAAGCAATGAAAAGCAAATGCGGTCCCTAGTCTCATAGAGTGACAGATGGTAATGGTTATGACTCCTTCTAATGCGTAACTAATACTCTGTTTTTTGCATTAGTATCTCTCAGTAAACCGGTGTCACTTAAGAGAAAACCAAGCGAACAAGGGGCCACGCACACAGCCGTTGCAGCATAAAATATTTATGGTTCGGCAACACAATCGGCCGGGGAGTACAACCTAATAAACAAGAATTTTAATTGTTAAGAAGCACTCGCCAAACAGCAAAAGGTGAAGGAAATGGACAGTACAATTAATTCTACAAGGTACTAATAAAATAAACCCGTTACTTCGCAAATGTGCCAGCACTGGTACTTTAAAAATGCTAAATTTTACCATTGAAATATGAAACCGTCACAGAGCAGCCGCAATTGATCATACCAAAAATGATGCCGAAAATCGAACAACTTATTCTAGATGTTTTTCCACCAAAACCAAAAGCTTTTGAGATCCAGGTAAATTGATATAAGTTTTTGCCTATACAACTTTACCGGCTAATTTTGCAAAAAATTAAATACGAAGAACATCAGTGAGGAATTTGGGTTAATTTGAGAATGGTAAACTTTCAGCTTGGATAGCAAGGTGTATAGAAAAAATATCCTTGTTTTTTGTACCTTTGGAAAAGCAGAGTTAAAAATTGACCTTCGAGAGACGTGTTACGATTCAAGGAAAACAAAACGTGATCAACGACCCTTTGGTTTCGGGCGACAACCCTTACATGTCAAGTTGAAGCCTTTAAATCTCGTTCGAGTGGAACAAAATTTTAGTTCAAGTTTCAAGAGTATACATTACATCCCCAAGAAGCTGGATCTCTTTCCGGAGAACTTTGGTGATTGTAGCGAAGAAGCGGGGGGAAGATTAAAACCATGGAACACAGTGAGACTGCCTTAGTGAACTCGTATAAACTTTTTTTATTGATAAATGACTAGAAAAAATAATTTTTGTAAAAAATACTTTAATTAATTAATTAATTTTGTTATCTTTAACTGATAAAAGTAATATAACATTTCTAAAGTTTTCAAAAGAGTTTGACGCAAAGGACACTTAAATGGGATACGGATAACCAACGACATGCCGTCATGTTGATAAATCTGCAAGCGGTTATGCGGAAAATTAAACGTAAATCAAAACAAGCAACAGACGAAAACGACGTGTGCTCGCCTCTTAAATGGTATAAAAGTCGTAAATAACAGGGAAGTGGTATGTAAAGGCGGGTATATATATACGAACCAGCGTAAAAATGTAAACGACCCCTTTATAATACGATAAGCATACCGAAGGCACGGGCAACGCCACACCAACACACTTAAGACGTACACAAACGGTTTCTTAACTGGTTTCAAAGGTCATTTTCAGCGCAAAATTAAAAAGAGCCTTACGAAGTTCGAAACAGTTTTATTACGACATTGAACTTTATTTACCTAGTGATTAAAAATATATGAGCTGCGGGGAACCTCGTAGCTTATCCGCCTTAGAGGGCGATACTACAAATCAAAATAAAATTTGCCCAATAAATAATATGGTTCAACTTTTATATTAGTTTTTACAATCTTATAAGAAGAAGAAGAAGAAGAATGAGTAGTAATTATTGTAACTATATTATTATCACATTGAATCCTGTTGGTATTAGGGAATAATACCATTGGGTTGGTCTATACAGTCGAGAGTAGCGTTTCTAGCACAGTTGCAATGTCAGGGTCCCGAATTCTCCTTTTAGTAGAAATTTATTTCATAAATACAGTATCCTCACCTTACCAAGTTTGTTTATTTACGAACTCGATATAAATATATTAAAAAATAAAAACAACTTTATTTAAAATAAAGATATCCATTATTTTAACAACAGACCGCAAGACAAAATTCATATACATCTAAAAATAAGCAGTCCCTCTTGGAAAAAATCTTGTAAATCAGTGTAAGTAGTCTGGGTCGCAAATAAACGTATTATTGTTATAATAACTTCACTAGCTAACCAACCTAACCAACAAAAAGAAATTAATAACAGTTGTAGCGACGTCAAGGGCGCACTTTGCGAAATACATTCTGATTAAATGTGTGGAGTGTTTCAATATTCAATATAGAAATTGGCTGGGGATATCTACACGAGAGTACGTTTTTTTTTTTGGTGCGAAGAATTTCAACATTAATAGTGTGCATTCAAAACAGCTGAAGCTTTACAGTGCAAAAAAATAACATTTTCTTAACATTGGCATGTTGGCTTATAGGAACACCTGCTGCTGTACGGTGCATTAGTTAAGGCATACCCCGTATGGTTGTAAATTGGAGAAAGTTTCTGTTTTTATTCCTCCGGGACCTCTTAATTAGGATATTGAACCTTATCCACTAGGAAAGTACACGCCCTCGCGTATAGTAAAAACTATACTATGTGGTCTTATATTTCCTGTGAAACCGCAAACGTCCAGGACAATTGAATAAAAATGAGTTACTTCTGAATAGTTAAAAGGCAAGAAAACATCAATTAAAAGGTAACAAGTTGAGGCGAATGAGCAATACGCATTCGCGGCGACCGATTCGGAAGACGCTGCATTTGGTATCAATCTCGGTGCACGTTATAGGATCTTACTGCCCGTAAAAGCCGACGTCAGCATTTTAACGGCTTCATTATCCTGCTCGGTATGCTTTCAGACTTCGTTTAGTGTCTTCGGGGACCAAACCTTCGACTCACCATGCGCAATAACATTTGAAATTTTAAAATTTCCACAAAAAAAATTATATAGCAGATTGATAAAAGTGAAGGCAGAACACAGACAGACAGCATACAATGGTCAAGAATAAAAATAAATTTTTGGACTAAAGAACGAATTCGATTATTCGACAGACAGACAGCATACAATGGTCAAGAATAAAAATAAATTTTTGGACTAAAGAACGAATTCGATTATTCGACGAGTCACTGAATTTGTGAAAAGTGGGCATTAAACATTTTTTTTCGATTCTTTTTTTTGTGAGAATTTGGAAGCAGTGGAAATTGCAACAAAATTTCTAACTAAATAATGAACTTAATTGAGAAAATCTATTAAAATCCTGGTCAAAAATACTAAAAAAGAACATACATCTAGTTTTATGCTATTTTTGATTCACAACTCTGTTAGTCTTAACAGTACAGGTTTCTTTTAGAATTATAATTGTAAACCATTTTTATTTTTAGAAACACCTAACTTAGTTTTGGTTTTTAAGGAAACCTTATTTTGTGCCTCTTTTATAACTAGAATCTTAAACATTTTGTTTAATTCTAGTACTATTACGATAGCTGGTGTATAGAAAATGACTATGCACTTACCCCGTTTTATACTCAAAAACGATACACCAGCAGGACATAATAGCAGCTGCCCGATTCAGTAGTTTTTTTTTTAACTAACCAAAACCAACCATGGACAATTAACAGAAGGTTAACGCACTCCCTTCATCATCATTTATCAGTGAAGTGAGTTCCAAAAACCCTCCCCCGTAGTCCATAGAACAATAGCCAGCGCAAAAACTACAACTACTTTGCTCAAGCACTAAATACGAGGTGTGTTCAAAAAGTATCGCGAATTTTGTGTTCCATCAAAAATGATTTATTTATTCATGAATATCTATTTTGTCCCCTTCAAAGTAATCCCCATGAGATATTATACACTTGTGCCAACGGTTTTTCCAATCTTCGAAGCACTTCAAAAAATCTTTTTTTTTTATCTTCTTCAGCTCCTCCTTCGATGCCGTCTTTATCTCGTCAAGAGAAGCGTAACGTCGTCCTTTCATGGGCCTCTTCAGTTTACGGAACAAGAAAAAGTCACAGGGGGCCAGATCTGGGGAATACGGTGGCTGCGGCATCATTAGTGTGTTGTTTTTGGGCAAAAAGTCGCGCACAAGCAACGATGTGTGAGCAGGGGCGTTATCGTCGCTTCGGTTCAAGGTAGCTTCTCCGTATGCCACAGTCAACATTCGGAATGCATCCGCGCACTTAATTTCGTTTTTCACACAAAATTTGATACAGGTTCTTTGATCCATTTTTTTGAATAGGTAAAAATCGAAGACGATCCAAAACACGTGCAAGCAAAGCAGCTGTCAACAATTAAATGAACATTCAAAATGGCCGAGCTTGTCGGCATAAATGAGAGACATGAGTACCAACATAACGACACAAAAAATTCGAAATTCGAATATACGTAATTCGCAAAAATTCAAAATTCGCGATACTTTTTGAACACACCTCGTACATCGGCTCCTGCCCTCCACCACTACGAAATGAGCCTGGATCCGGTACCGGCATACCAAGAGCCATTATTCGCAACAAAAAACAAACAGCAGTGTCGAAAGTTGGCTCCGGCATGAGGACCGGATCCGGCGAGGGTTAACCCTTAGTTTCCGGGTCTGCGCTGGGGGTACCTGTGGCGGCGAGCAGTGGGCCCAGGCGTCTCCACTCGGCGGGGCTGAGGGGCTGGTGGGGCTGTGGCGAGCCACCGTACTCACCCATGGCGCCCGCGCCTCCCTTCCCGTCCAGCTGGTAGGGGGGGATGCCCATGTGGGCCGGTGGTGGCTGCGACAGGGGGTCGCCGTTATGGCAGAAGAACGGGGGCATGTGTCCCGTGGGGCCCAGTCCCATCTTTCCCGCCTGAAATGAAATGAAAAGGGTCTTTAAACTAAAATTAATGGGAATATATTAACGAAGGTGCGCAAAATGATTTTTTTATATCGGATCTTTTGTTTAGGTCGGTATTAGGTATTCGATCACATTAAACGGAGTAAAAGTAGCAGCAGAGATAAGTAAAAATCTGATCGACTGCTTGGAGTGGTTTTGTACATTTGTACAGCTTGGCATCCTCCTCATTTTAAGTTCATTCTCTGTTAGCTACGTGAATAGAGACCCGTATAGAAACAAGATTATCTAGGTTCGATTTTTTCTATTACTAAATTATTTCGTCGACAATAAGTCGGAATTTAAATACGCAAAATGGCGGTAAACTGCAACCGGTCTTTAAGCGACATCAAACAATTACCGAGTAGCTAAAACAAATGAAGGAGGCAAGTCGGAAAAGTGATAACGAGATAATAGCGGGTATGCGTGATGGCGCTGAATGGCAGACATAAAACGGCTTCTTTGTTTGACAAGTAAGAAGCCGCTCATTAAAAGCTCAGGGTTCTGGGCCGGCCCGAACTAATGACAGTCCCCACGTTGAAACCAGAACGCGAGCATCGTAGCCGAACGAAACCGCGATAGGAACGTTAATCTTCTCATTTTCGACTGCATAATAAAACCAGATTTTTTTCTGAAACACGGATTTCTTCATAACCTCTCCAGTTCTAGTTAGAAGTGCCATAATTATTGCTCTAATGCGTTAAATTTGTTTCGATGCAAATTACGCGGTTGTTGACCAAATGAATTTTGTTCATCTTCTTTGGGAACGATGCATCGTTTTAAGAAAAAACAAACATTAAGACCAAATAAAATCCAGTACGGAAATTAATAAAAGAAAAAGAAAAGAAAATGCTGCGAGCCGAATGGGCTGAAGCCGGTCCCGTCTGCTGTTTTTTTCAACGGAATACAAAACGACATTCTTATATGTTAACCGACCAAGGCAGTCGGTTGAGCGATAAATCTGAGCCTCATCTGCATTACACTTGAGTTTTAAAGTGCTGTATGAAACCGATTACAGTCCCGAAGCACCCCAAAGCGGCAGTTCCATTCTTGTTCATTTAAAACATTGATATGACACGATTTTCTGCATCCCTATATTTTGCTACTTCATTTCATTATTACTTCAAAAACTCTGGACCAGATGCTCCTGCTGCCGCTTTTGTACGGCGTTCATGTTGTTTTTTCCCGGGCAAAGACGTCCGGCTCTTCGGAGATGTCAAGTAAATAGCGATCGTCGAGCAAAAGATAATCGCTTGCATGAATATACAAAAGGCCTGTAGACAGGAAACTGAAAACGGGCAGCGCAAACGGGCAAATAAATCGCGTCTATATGTTTATTCATAAATGCGGCAGTTCCATATTTAAACAAGTTAGGCCTCGACGTGTGCGACTGTGTGTGTGTGTGTGTGTACGTACGATTTACTAGTGTCCCTGTTTTGCCTGAGCGTCATCACGTATTGCGGCGAGTCACGATATAAAAATAAACCCCCACCAAAACCACGAAAATCCATATTTTGGAAATTACCGGACCATTTCAGTTTTTTTTTTTTTAATTTAAAACTAAAGGTCCAGGAAAAAAATGTTTTGGTTAATGTTTGAGGTGGGCCTCCTCGCTCCACGGGGGCAGCCTTGCCCCAACCGCCCCCACTTCAGTAATAATTATAATCAATAGTAAAAGAGACTCGATGATACGCTGTCTTGATAAAAAATACACTTTTTATCTTACCATACCATCCATATCGCCTAAAGTGTAAATAGAAAAATTCTCTATTCAAAAATTATTTATATACTACTTCCAGAAGTCCACGTTAAAGTTTCCAAAAACGCCGTACATTCAAATGGGACCCTTCCAAATCACCAGTGAAACGTCAGAGAGAGAGAGAGAGAGAGAGAGAAGGGTGCTTTTTAAAGTAGGCCAAATAATTAATCGACCTGCTTTTTGGCACCTCGCTATTTACGTTTTCGATATAACCGCCGTTCAAAGTCGCGCAAAGTAGTTCGAAAAAGCAAACAGGTCGTGGCGGCGGCGGGGCGAGCCGGGAGGGTCGTTACGTGCTCCGCGAAGCTCCCCCGAAAAGTTGGGGAACGCGACAACCCGATCTACACATGGGCGGATCCGGAACAGGCGTCGCGATCGACCGGAGTCATTGGTCCGGTCGGAACGAGCAAGCGCAACCAAAGATCAACCAGGACCGGATTCGGATAAACTGCTTCGGCGGTGACGAATTGCACGGAAATAAATCGTCTTGAACTTTGCCGACCGAGGACTGAAGAAGAACAAACTTCTTTCGGCTGAAGTTGGCCAAAAGGATGAAGGAATCAACCCAAAATGAGTATTTTCTTAGTAGACGTGTTTGATATGAATCCCAAAAGTTATATAAGATTTTCAATTAATTTAACAAAGAAAAAATGCACCAGTTTGAGGGTTCTTTGCAACAATGAAGCGACTGGTGTTGTGTTACTCAAAAATGACACCAAGGAAGTATGTTCTACATGCTTCCCTGCACGAAAATGTCAGAATGGATGGATGAGCGGCGAAAACAATTTATCACAGCGAAAGTATTTAACCATTTTATTTTAAGTCTCAAAATTATTTTTCAATCTGGAAATCTGAGAAAGAGCAAAATGTTTACTTGACCGTGAGAGTAAAAAGTCTTTCCATATTCGATTAGGAGTGATGTTATTAAAAGTTTTTGCGTTTAGGACCTTCAAATTGTTCTATTTATCTGTAGTTAAAGCGGTAGTTGATAAGAAATTCTTGTTTTTTTTTTTTAATACTAATTTTTTTGGACTTGCACTTTTGTTCCTCGTTCAAGCGAGAATTATACTCTAATTGTAAACAGATCGCAATCAATATTTTTCTTTTTCAAAGAACCTACAATTATTATTTGGAAGGAAGTAGCAATAGAGGTATATATGCAAATAATTACAGGCCCGTCCCTGGTGACGCGTAAACCACCCGCCGCTTCTTCGACAAATCCCAACCCGGGATAATTGAGATTTCCGACGACACGTTTCGCCCCCCTTACCCCACACCCCTTATTTTTGTGGGTTCTGTTCACATGCTAGGAGTTATTTTTATTCAAAATTGCGAAATTTTCCAAAAATGCTTGCTGCTAGAGCGGCCGACCTGTCAAACTTATTAAAAAGTTTTAATATTAATAAGACCGCCGTGATGACTCATTTCTTTGTTACCAGGCAAACAAAAAAAGCAGTTTTATTTTTGAGGACAGTTTACCAAATTTCCCTTTAATTCAGTCAATATTATAAAACTAAATAATATTACAAAAATCTTAAACAGCCCACGAGACGGACGTTGACGACCATCTTTTCTTCGCGATTTTCCTCTGTAGTTCATCGGAAATCGCATCCTAAATTTGAAGCTATCGACTTAAAATTTGGGATGGAGTTTCGATCCCGAACAAAACCTATTTAAAAAATTTAATTTAAAAATGAATCAACTGCATTTGTAGGGGTCCAAGAAAAAAATCATTTATCAAAATCGAACTATTTATGTTCCAAAAAATTCTTAAACTAAAAGACGCGCGATTGCCGCACGAGTTCGCGATTTTTTTTTTAATGTACAGTGTTCGTCGGTAATTTGAAAAAACTGAAATTGACCATAACTAAAAGGCCAGCCTCCGGCAGTCAGTTTCTTTTACATGACCACATAGCTCGTATAGATAGCTAAAATTTTTGTATTTTTTAGCTTTCAAAAATAGTACAGGGTGTTCTGGATATTCTGTAAGATATTCAAGAATACAATTCCTAGGACGGTCCTGGAATGGTTACGGGTTAGGGTCGGCTAGGCAGGAGTAACAAACAGGCAAAGTTATTCACGGGGTCGGTTATAAAAGCACTATATTCCTGGTCGAAGTATAACATAATTTTTTAAAAGTTTGTTGCTGTGAGTAAAAAATTACCCTTATTTTTATCGGTGTACGTAAACAGAGTAATCGCCGCGTCGTCGGCCGTTTCCGTTTTCAAATCCGAATTTACGGTTTCAACACGATCGCGGCCGGGAGCGCCGTTAACGCGTCGTCCCTTCGTTTTTGATGTCAAACTTCAAAACGGTTCGGCGCGCGAAGAAATAATAATAATAAAAAAAAAAGCGGACGCGTCTCGCGGGACGACCGTAGTTCCCGTGTTGACACTTTTAATATCGATACTATTTATTTTGATAAAGTCGAGGAGCTGTCGATTAAGTTTGTTTACCGAATAATTCGAATCGCTATATAAAGGCATTGTTCGCGACGCTTGCTCGGAGGTTCGGCCTGTCTTATCGACGATCAATGTTTGTGTGAGTGAGTGTGTGCTCGTTACAAGACGGATGACATTTTACTAGTTGTCGAACACACGGTTTTATCTATACACGAGAAATTTCGATCGCCGAAATTGATTATTTTATTTACTGATTTTTTTCTCCTTATCCGAAAACAGCGCGACCTACGCTTTAAATCAAATAATGGCGATTCCAATGAAGAAGAGGTCATTGTGGACAATATTTCACACTCAACCACTTTACTAGGTACACTAAGAATAAGATCAGAATCGGAAACCGACAAATGCCTTCGAGGAGCCGAAATGAAAACGCTCAGGACTATAGTGGGAAAAACGAGAAGAGACCGAATTAGGAACACTGACATCAGGCAACAACCAAAGATATTGGTACGCTCACGTGAGAAGAATGGAATAGAGAAGAAGACTGCCACGCAATGCACTTGAAGGGAAACCGATAGGGAAACGAGCACCCGGAAGACTACCTAAGGAATGGTAGGACGGCTTGCAAGAACAGATACGGAGGAACCTACAAAACTAACAGATCACGAGATCTTAAATATGAATGACAAGAAGATCTTAATGCAAATATAAATAAGAGACATGTAATTTGCGGTTATACTTAAAATTCTCATTAAAAATATATATTTTTATGTTTTCATATACTTTTTTTTATATTGGGTATTCCATACCATACT